ACAGTGTTTAGTAAATAGGGAAAACTCATGTGCGGGCTATGTTATCTGTGCCGTTCAAATGTCATCGTGCGCCACCTTTGCAATCACCGACATTCTAACAAGACGTCTTTGAGAAATTTTAATTATTCTCGAGCTTTTGGGGCAATTTAGAATATTCGGCGCAGCTTTTCTTCCTTATTCCAATAATCATGTTTCGAGAGCATTTGCTTTCGTGGTGACTAAATTAATGCCAATAATGTTTTCGCGTACACTCAAGCCTTTCAATCAAAAATTTTTGGATCGCATGTTTTGGAGGAGTTGTGATAGCAGCTAAATAGAGTAAACAAGTGAAATGCAAAAATTTTTGGACAGCTCCGGCTAGGTTTCTAGTATTTTTGGATGATTCTTCCAAAAGTTTTTTTTTACGTGTAGTACACGAACACGTCAAACACCGGATCTTCGAAATTGAAAAATCTCAAAATTTGATATTAATTTACACTGGTCTCAAAACTCTTGTATGTTCGACCTTAATTTTGCCAAGCAAATGACATTCACGGCTTCGAGATATGAATTTTGAAGTGTTGTTACAGGCTGAGCTTTCGATATCCCACAATTATCGAAATTTCCACATAACAAGAACAAACGCCTGGCAGAAAAGGGGAAAAAGCTGCTTCCAACAGTATTCGAGCTGCTTGACGGATGATTCTGAATGAAATTTGTCCAGATTGGCATTTGTTAATATCAGAAAAATAATTCGATTAATTCGGAAGTCAGCTAAAATACCAAGAAAATTATTTGTGCGCAATATAGTCTTCAACGCGTTTGTGCGCTTTGATTTCGCTTTATGATACGAAGGAAAGGAAAGAACATTGGGAAACACTTATATATATCTACATTTTGAGTAAAGCCGACAGAGCAAATTATCACCCTGCCAGCAGACTGTAGCATGGAGCAGGCTCTTGTGTAACATGCTAGAATCTCACCCAGTAGAGAACGTTGAGGGAGCCACGTGCTCAGGTGAACATTGCGAAGATGATCAGCTATTTTTGAGTTCTTTTCTTCATACTTGAATAGAAATGTTGTCTCCGGCATGCTTTCAAAAACTTTCAGAAGTGTTCGCTTAAAAATAATCTTTTCTTTTATAGCCAAAAGAGTTTACTTGATTAAGAAGTCTAAAACCACAATGTTACTATGAAACTCAAAA